TGGGTTGGTCCAGTAGCGCCGAGGAGCGGTGCTACTGGAGCAACCCAGCAGCACCCCAGCTGCTCTGCCCCAGGCGTCCCCAAGTCAGCCGCTGCTGAAACTGACCAGTGCTGACTACAGGAAGCCCGAGGCAGAGTTGCAGCCCGAGGCAGCGGCTGAATCTGGATGCCAGTTCCGACTTACATACAGATTCAACTTAAGAACAAACTCCAGTAGCGCCGAGGAGCGGTGCTACTGGAGCAACCCAGCAGCACCCCAGCTGCTCTGCCCCAGGCGTCCCCAAGTCAGCCGCTGCTGAAACTGACCAGTGCTGACTACAGGAAGCCCGAGGCAGAGTTGCAGCCCGAGGCAGCGGCTGAATCTGGATGCCAGTTCCGACTTACATACAGATTCAACTTAAGAACAAACCTACAGTCCCTATCTTGTATGTAACCCGGGGACTGCCTGTATGTTTGGTCCGTGTGCATTGACATTTGCATGAAGCTGTGTAGTCTGTTTTGGAGACAGACTTGTTCCTGTATGCATATAGTTTAAGCACTTGTAATTTTAAAAGCAGTGTTTTAGCTAACTTTAAAAGCATTCATAACAATTGTTCTGTTAACCTAGTTACTTATTCTCGGGGAGATGGATTAGCTTAACTACTGCAATGGGAAAACTTGTCCTGTCACTGTAGTGGTGGCTATGCCAAAATGCCACAGCAGTGCACCATTGTAGCGGTTTAAGTGTAGACATAGCCAGAGCTTGTGCCTTACTGTGAAAAAAATTTTTTTGGCGTTGTTTCTTGTACACGTCAGTAGTTCTGATTGTCTCTAAAAGAATTCTATAAATGAAAACAAGTTGTAATATGAGAACTGGCTCAAAGGTAGTAAGTCTGTACACGTGAAAGGGCTATAGTTCAGACAAACTGTAGCCTTAACTGAGTAAAAAAAAATGAAGAGAACACGTTGTTAGTATCACTATTTCAAAGTTTGAGTTGGCTCTGTAGATTTAATTTTTTTTAAATGTTCTTCAGTACCATGTTTGACTTGGTCATAGTTTCAGATGCTTTGGGTGGTTGGTTGTTTTTTTTGTGACTAAACTACAAATGTTTGGTGTAAAATAAATGAAATCTTGCTGGTTGGCCTTAAACTGAAAATTTTCAGCTCAGATTCTAAATTACTGAGTCTTAAATATTAATTTGGTTGTCGATTAGTCTCTTTTTAGTCATTTTGACTCCATCGTTTTAAATCAGTTATGACAAAGATAAAGTGGTGTTAGCCTGGCTGCAAAATATCAAATGCAAATAGCTATGCATAGATGGTATTTCCTTTCAATACCTCTTTATTTTACAAACAAAACAAAGCCTGTGGTGTCTTTTACCTAAAATACTGTAGCTTTCAAAATGTTTAAACTCAGTGAATGTTTAAACTCAGTGATTTTTTTTCAGAGGGGGCCATTATATATTGTGACACAGTGGGAGTTACTCTACTGAAAATAATGGTAATTCTGTTAATATGCATTACTTTCAGGAACCTGTATAATTTCTATCACTCTATCACTATTGTTTCATCTATAACAAGTTTCAACTGTCAGTGGAGATTTTAGTCACTGTTTACTGCTAAACTAAACCTTTTTGTAAAGAGCATTGACCTTTCATAGTGGAAAACTATTAGCATATACAAATGACAGAATTGTAGAAAAGCTGTCTAATTGCGGTAAGGGAGAATTCCTTTACACTCTAGATAAGATCATTACTTCTTGATTGAGACAGTATATTTTAAAACATAAAAAGATGGAATCATGGGTCACTCCTCCTAAAGAATCAGAATTAAAAGTACAGACAGCTTGACAAATTGTGTTAAGCGAATGTTTGAAAGCAAGTTCGAATTGCAAGTTTAACAGTTATGATGTGAATAGAGAATCCGGGGACAAGTTTGGGTTGGAGGACAGGGGTGGGGTACATAATGAGAATAGTCAGTAACCTGCCGCCCGAGCCCAGTGCACTTATTCCATGCCCTTTTGCTGCGTTACATCGTGTACGTTGTGGGAGTGACCCACATATATAGCGGACCTACATCACCCTGAATATACAAGCTGTGCCACATACATAGGTTCACTAGTACATATGGGCTACATCTACATTGGCACCCCTTTCCGGAAAAGGGATGCTAATGTAGCACTTGGGAATAGGCAAATCCGCGGGGGATTTAAATATCCCCCGCGGTATTTGCATTAACATGGCTGCCGCTTTTTTCCGGCTTGGGGAAAAGCCGGAGAAAAGCGCCAGTCTAGATGTTATTCTCCGGAAAATAAAGCCTTTTCCAGAGGATTTCTTATTCCTACTTGCTGGGTGGTTTAAAGAGTCCCAGAGTCTTTTAAGTGGGAGAGAGCCAATGCTTTCCCAGGTCTTCTGTGTCCTTCAGTGTCCTCTTTCTCTGCATCCTTGTCCTCATTTCTTCTTGAGCTGCTTCTTGGGGGGAACATAGCCAGAGGTAGCAAGGTGGGGGGAGAGGGGGAGGCAGGGAGCAGGAGCCGGTGCTGGGGGTAGCCTGCTTAAAAGACAACTCAATTAGTTAATTAAATGCAATTTAACATCCCTGTCCCAAATTAGGCACACCCAGAGTACGGAAATTATAGTGTATCTGATTTGAGGGAGTCTGATCTGAAGAGCAGGAAATACAAGAATAATATAGGTGCACAAAATTTAAAAAAGCAACTAGACATTCAAAGTCCACTTCCTAGACAGCTTCCATCTCTGGTTATAGTTGAATAATAGGTTAGCTGATTAAATTAGAGTTTGAAGAGCTAACTGATGATTCATCTTGAGATCATAGAGTTCCCTGAGCAATCAAATTGAGAAAAAATCATAATGCTAATCTTTTCTAAGTGGCTGTCAAAACTGACTTATCCTGTATATTTTTTTCTGATTTAAAACACTTCAACTTTATGATTTGAGAATCAGAGAAACTGATCTGCTTAAGTCAAATTGAGTACTATTACTATTATCTTGTCTTTTTTTAAATAACTCCTCTTGAGTTGCAAAATTATTGTGGAATTTAATTTTTACTGGAAAATGATAAAGACTGCTTATCAGTGAATGTTCACTGGTTGATCCTCTTTAGTCCAGAGAAGGGTGTGGCCAGGTTTCCCCTGCTCCCATAAAGTTTGTTTACAGCCATCAGTCCTAGCTCTGTGTTCTGTGCTGTTGTTTAGCTCTGATTTACCCCAAAATGTCCTCTAACAGCTCAGTAAGTAATGGAAATGTTGGCAATGCTGTTAGACAATATTGACCTCCTGTGGTCCAGAAAATTCTCTTGTTTGGAACCAGTCATGTCCTCGGAGTGCCAGACTAGAGAGGTTCAACCTGTAGCATTGAGCTGCCTTTCCTGTTAAGCATTAAGGTGACTTTCCTGGGCTGACCACGGACAGGGGTTGCTGGACCTGGCACAAAATGGGACTGAAGAAGCCCAGCTCAGTCCCGGCTTGCACCAGTCCGGGACCGCTGCGACTGCATTTTAAATGTAGTAAGAGCCACCTGGCACTTGTGCCAGTCTGGGACCTCCCCCGCATTGCACCTCTGCAGCTGAAATGCAATAGGAGCCAGACTGCCTGCGCGCCTGTCTCATACTATATTTAAACTGCAGACGCAGTAGGGGGTAGCTCCTGGACCAGCGTGAGCAGGGACAGAGAGCCTTTCCTTATCGACTAATCATGTAGTCAATACAATTTGTTTGACTACACAATTAGTCAATTACCCGCCTCGTAACTTCGTTACTGTTTAGGTCACCAACAGTAGTAGTGACTACTATGGTACTGTGATAGCTGAGATACAGCAAATAATGATTTGTCAGATATTAAGATAGATAAATGACCAATAGAAATGCCTTTTTTGTCATAATTTGAAACAAGTATCTTTACTACTTCTGCGTATCCTTGAATCCTACCCTGTATTGCATCAGTTGATTTGTTCTGAGCAAGATGATTTAACAGAATGCTGTAAAGAATGTGATTTCTAATTGAGTTTTTCACTCTGAACTAATGCATCACTCTACATTTGGCAGCCTGTGACGCATTCTGCTCAAGCATTTTCACAAGTGTTTGTAATAAAATAGCATTGTTCTTCTGTGAGTTCACCCTGTTAGCGTGTTCCAGCAAGATCAACAGCTGCTAAACAAATCCTATTTAGTTGACTCTCGTAATTGTGGCTCATGTAGGTAACTTCTTGGGTCTTGGCTGGAAATTCTGTGAGTTTTAATCCTGGGTGCCTAAAGTTGCAAACAAGTGTCAAAGTATGGAATTAATTTTAAATGGCTTGACTTTCAAAAATACTGAACCCCAAAAGTAGTAGAATTCTAGGGAGATGCAAGTTGTTCAACATTCATTGAAACTTAGCCCACTTTTGTTCAGGTGCCTAGCTTTGGATTTGAGTCTAGCTTTATGCAGCTTCTCTTGAATGTTTTTGCCCTCTGTAAACAAAGAAAAATCCCAGGAAGAAAAGGTTGTGTGTTTTTAATTCTATTCAGAATGATTGGACTACTCTGCCATGGAGGGTCACCTGCTTGGTGCTTATCAGCCAGCAGAAGTAAGATATGATTTTTTTTAAAGACAGTGCTTAAAAGATCTTTAAGTTGCAGTTCTGGAAGGGAGTCTTCTGACTTGTTTTTGCCAGTTACCCGTGAATATAGTAAAGTTATATTGTCCGATATATTATCTTGCATATTTAAGTGCTTAACACGCTGAGCATAGGTTTGTGCCAGCACTTTGTTCTCTGTAGAGTAGGGATGTTTAGGACTACTCAGTTAACCAGCTAACCGATAAGCCATTGCTTTTTGTTACTGGTTCTAGTTAACTGAAACCACCACCCCATCCCCACATGCTCTGCATTTAAAAATCAGACCGGCACACTAGCTCAGTCCCAGCCTGCCTGTCTATGTTTTAAATGAAGAGCATGCATGTGAGCTTCCTGCCCGGATTTGGCATGGACAGAGGCAGCAGCGTGGGGCGGCAGGAGGGAGCTTGTCTGTGTGAGGAGCCGGGTTTTTAAATCGGCTCCTGCCTGCTGCCTCGTGCTGCTCCCTCTGTATCGGCCCCTATCCACAAGGGGCCCGAGCTTCCTGCGCATGGAGGCTGCTTTGGCATCCCACGGAGCAGACTTTGTCTGTGGCGAGCCTGGATGCTCTGTGATCAGAGGCTACTCGTGGGATGCTGGAGCAACCTCTGTCCATAGGGAGCTGCTGCCTCTGATAGAGGCAACTGCGCGAGGCAGCAGGTGAAACCGGTTTGCACAGGGAGCTGACTTTTAAACTGGCTCCATTCGCGAATAGGCTTCCCACCTTCTTCCCCTCACTGCTGCCTCTGATGTTGAGGCAGCAGCGTGGGGTGACATGGGGCTCCTCGGGAGTGGAGCTGGGAGCACACTGGATGCCGGCCCTGGCCCCTGGGGGAACACTGAGTAACTGTGTAACCACTAAGAATTGTTGTGGTTACACATTTACTAAGCCCCCCCACGATTTATTTCCAGGTGAAATTCAAAGCATTGCTTATAAACTATGACAGTCCAAAGAGTGTGGGTCCAGTTTACTCTTCCTCTCTTTCTGTCAATGCCTTCTCATGACACACGTTATCTGGGGCTATTTTCCTGTTGGTAGCTAGAGATGAATTGTTGAGCACTGGTGGCCCATCTTTTAAGTCGAAGTTCCCTAGCTGTAGAAATATCTTGCTTATGATCTCCTAGTCTGTCAGAGCCTGGGTTGGACAGCCTTCAAGAATGGTTGCAAGGTATGTGTTTACTTGTGCAGGAGTGGGCAAAATGAGGCCTGTGGGCCACTTCCAACCTGCCACCATTATCCTGCAGCCTAACAGGAGCCTTGAGCAGGTTCCCTATCTTCCATGCCCTTGCACGCTGCTCAAAGGGGCTGGCTATGGGGCCCATAGGCTCTGCACCCTGTGAACCCCTTGGGGGTGGACATTCACCCCCAGCACAATCTTGCATAAGAATGACCATTCTGGGTCAGACTAATGGTCTATCTAGCACAGTATCCTGTCAACAGACAGTGGCCAATGCCACGTGTCCCAGAACAGCTAACCAACAAGTGATCCACCCCCTGCTGCCTATTTCCCAGCTTCTGGCAAACAAGAGAGGAGAAAATTTATACCATGAGGATCATTCCCTATCTTCAGTGGAGCTACAGTGATATAACTATGGCAGTCCGTTGAGGATCTGCTCCAGAGTATGCTGAGTGTGCTTTTTTGGAATCTTGGTCTTCTCATGTGTGCATGTCTGTGGAGAGTGAAATGTTATACCCCTACCCTAAACAGAAATGGGGATTTCCTTGGGGGAACATGGCTTTGTGGTTGAGGGCTGGCCCAAGACTTGCGAAATTGGTGTTCAATTCCCTGACTCTGTCCCTGATTGTGTGACCATGTGCAGTTAACTTAAGCTCACTGCACGTTAGCTTCCTGTTTGTAAAATGAGAATACAGTCCTTCTGCCTTCCTTCTTTGGGAGTTCCGAGGTCTCCTTCTACTGTATGTTATTGAACCTAGAGCAGTAAGGCCTCTACAATAGCCTTTAGGCACTATTATAATATAAATAACAAAGGTAAACTATTTGACTCTAAATATACTTATGTTTCTTTTTAGTTACAAAATAATCCTACTTCAGCAAGTCCTGTTTTTGAGGCAAATGGTAATCAGCCTGTCTACCCAAACTCCCTTCTTCCAATGAAGTCAATCCAACACAGACCAGGTATTTACATTTTATTTCCCAGGTTCTTATGCTGGGGTCCATCACTGTGGTACCCAAGTGCTTTCCTTTCCTCCCTCCCTGTCCCCTGATTTTTTTTAAAGTAATTATATATCCATCTTTCCAACCCAGGAGGTTAGCATTAAGGTATTTTTTGTTTTTGGTGTGTGTGTGTGTGGGGAGGGGGGAGAAGGAGGGGTACTTATTTGTGAGGAAGCTTAGTTCTGGATGCAGAACTTAATGCAAAATTTTGGTCATTTTTATTTTTTTCAGTAGAGAGTTCTGTGACCTGAAATTCTGTTTGGCACTCATGAGTGCCATATTTGTTGTCAGTGGTTTCATTGATCCAGTGGAACGTAGCTGTTTGTAGAACACGTTTGTGGAAGGAGAAAGCATCATGGGGAGGACTTTAAATATGTGTTGAATGTTGGCTCTAATACTAAGTAAGTTCACTGTGTGCAGACATGTAACTAGAGCAGCAATGCCTGAGACTCAGGCAGAATTGGTGCTACAAAATTTATTCTCTCCTTAGTAGGATTCCTTGTATTATACCACAGGAGGAGAGCTCCACCTCTTTGGGTCCAATGAAAACTGCAGTGCCTCAGCAGAAGGGAAAATGAAGGCTGATGCTGAGTTTGAACCATAGTTTCTTTCTCTCTGATCAATGCCCATAGTATGTCTTAGTTTTCACTAGTTTCGAAGGGGTAGCCGAGTTAGTCTGTAACAGGAAAACCTTAAACAACGGATAGTCTCGTAGCACTTTAAAGTCATCTGAAGAAGTGGGCTGTGCCCACGAAAGCTCATGATCCCATCTACATGTTTTGCTAGTCTTTAAAGTGCCACCAGACTATTTGTTAGTTTTCACTGACCACCTGAGAGTGTTCCAGCAGAAGTCAGTGGAAAAATTCCCTTTGATTTTTGTGGAAGTAGGAGCTAGTCTGTACTGTAGACAGGATTTTAAGAAGTTCTCTTATTCCTGTGGAGTAAAAAGTGATTGTGATTGAATATTAGCTTCTTCTGAAACTAAATTTTAGCCTTTGTGGCTAAGTGTTGTGTAGGTGTTTCAAGTCTACCCTGTACATAGGAGTGGCCCTAGTGTGTCATACCAGTAGTTGAGCTAGTTCAGCATTCTGGCTTTGACTGGAACCAGTACCAGCTACATCAGTGAAACTCTCCAGTAGGCAGTTGTAGGATATTCTGCCCCCACAAGTTTCCTCTTAAACCTGATAGAAGCCAGGCATGTTAAAATACTTGTAATTGAGTAACCCTGTAACCATTGAAGATTCTAGTGATTACATGTATCTGGCTCCCTGGGAGCTGATGAGCACCAGGATCTGGATCCTGGTGCGCACCACCTGATGCCCTGCACTGCTGCCTCTGATACAGTAATAGTGCTGGGCGGCAGGTGGCTCCCTAAGAAACGGACCAGGAGCTGCATGTAGCTGTTTGGGTACCCAATAAGCTTAACGGCTATACTCTTACATCCCTAGTAGAGGCTGACATATGGTCTAAAGCATGTGTCTGTATGCCTTCCAAAACTTTAACCACACAAATGATAAATTCTTTTTAAATTTTGCTAAACTCTTTGCCTTGGCTATATATAAATTCCACAGGCTAATTGTGCACTGTGTGAGGGAGAGATTTTGCTTTTATCAGTTTTGACACTCAGTTTCTTTGAATGTCGCCTTCTGTTTTGAGAGAGTAAATCCAGAACTTCTGTTTCTCTTATCTCTTCTGCTACTCTCTAAGGCAGGGTGGGGAACCTAAGGCTTGGGGGCCAGATGTGGCCCCCAGCTTGCTTGGGCCTAGCCCCTGAGGTTCAGTGCACCCTCAACATTGGGGAAGACCACACTGTTGCTCCAGCCTCTCCACTGCCCCATGGTGAGGGTGGAGTGCACAAAATCTACTAGGCTTCTCTCCCCCACCTCCTCACGCCAGGGTCTGGTATGCAAGGGGAATGTGGGGGAATGTATTTCTCCTTCTCAGCTGGGGGTTTGTTTAGGGTTTGGTGTTGGTTTGGGTTTTTTGTTTTTTATTTTGTTTTCCACTCGTATGTGGCCCCCGACTCATTTTTATATGGGTCAGCGACCCCTTACCCAAAAAGGCTCCCCACCCCTGCTCCAAGGTGTTTTTTTTTTTTAAAAAAAGACAACCCTAAACTTTCAGTCTCTCCATATAAGTTTTCCCATGCTCCTTATCATTCCTGTCAGCAATCTCTGAACCGTCTCTAGTGCTGAGATGAGTTGGCAAGAAGAGAGTACTGTAATGGGGAGGAGGGAATAGCTTTGACCTATTTTCTATCCCATTCCATATACAGCTGTGGTCAAAACAGATGCAAATTGAGCAGAGGCCCTTATTGAGCTGTCTGCAGGGATGCCCAGAGCTCCGTCCTGTGTTACTAGTTCATTGAATGAGATATTGGTGTAAATTATTCCCTTCAAGGCATATAACTTTGTATTTATCAACAGTGAATTGCATCTTCTATTCTGTTGTCCTCTCATTTAGCTTGGTTAAGTCTCTCTGAAATTCCCCACTCATCGAATGTTGACTAGCTTGGGTTTTGTTATCTGTTAATTTTTCCATCTCAGTACTTCGCTGCTGTTTCGAAATCATTATTAAGTTACATAGTAAACACTAGGCCAGGTATAGTCTCTTTGGCACCCTGGAGTTAACCTCTTGCTGTGATTCTCTATTTCATCTCTTAATCAATAGATGAACAGGATAGTCCGACTCAAACCCACAAAGAATTGCCCATTAGTAGGGTTGCCAGATGGTTTCAACAAAAATACCGAACACACTTGACATTACATCATAATCTACATTACATCTTATTTAGAAACTACCGGACATTTATATTTTCTCAATTTGTTTCCCAAACAGAAAGTTCAAATACTGGACTGTCCGGTTCAAAACTGGACACCTGGCAACCCTACCCATTGGGAATATGACTGAAAAAATGGCTGATTATTTTTACCCACCTGTTACTCTATCAAGAGGTCAAATAGTTTCCTAAAAATGACACCACCACCACCCGCAATAAAGAAAAAGAAAAATGCTTAGCTTAGTATTAGTGTAAAAACCTCCAATAACAGGCCCAGAATCAACTGCTGAGAAGATGGGGAGTCTTGTCTGTGGGACAGGGTTTAACCTCTGAAACCATAATATAAAATAGCTGAATGATGGAAAGGCTTGTTCTTCTTAACACTTACTTCAAAGTACTCCCTTAAGGAGGTAATGTCCCCCTTGCCCCCCCTCAAAAAAAAGGGGGTGGCTGGGGTAAAAGTTTTCTCATGTTAATGAAATTGTTACTTGGACTTAAGCCAAGGGTCAGCAATCATTGGCTCTTGGCCCATCAGGGTAATCCACTGGTGGCCATGCAACGTTTTTCTAACACTGTCCAAAAGCATGGCCCCTTGCAGTTTCAAGTGGCCACTGTTCACTGTTCCTGGTCACTGGGAGCTGCTGGAAGCAACGGCTTCTGAAACCTCAAACCACAGCCATTGGGAGCTGCGGGGGGGCTGTACCTGTTGACCATCAGTGTCAGCAAAGTGTCTTGCAGCCTGCCAGTGGGTTACCCTGGTGGGCCAAGAACCAAAGGTTGCCAACTCTGGCCTAAGTTTAGAGGTAGTTTATCAAAACAAAGACTAATGAGCACCAAACTTCACTGAGCTTCCTGATTTCTTAAAGTTGTTTCGGTGGAAAAGGAAACTAGATGTTGTCATACAGAAGTATCCTTATCGTATCACAGGCAAACTAAAAAGCTAATTATCAAATCTAGTGTCCCTGTTTGTGTACAAATTCAATACAGAACACAAATTACAAGTGTCAACTTCTCCCTAATTCAGCTTATACTTAAATGACTAGTTCACTTTCTGGTATGCGAAAGCATCTCTCTGAAGCTTAGGTTTTTGTCTCATTGGGGTATATGTAAAGGAGTATTGATTTGAAGATGAGCTTTTTTTAGCACAGAGATGGGAAGATGATTGTCACTCTAAATGGTGCTTTAATTATTTCAATGAGTGGCATTAAACTGATTTTTTTTCATCAGTTTCCAAATCACGTTTGTCTGAATTTAGTATATAGCATATGGTAGTTATAAGTGACTTTCATAATTACTGTTGCTGAAAGGTGTTGGCAGGAAAAATGTTTTTCTTTGTATTTCATCCTGTGACTTCAACAGCACTTGTGTAGTCTCTTATTCATCATTTGCATAGCTTCTCTTATTGTGAAAAGAGCTTTACAAATGTCACTGGAGAGCAGAAAAATGATTTAAAAATGAATAAAGATGTGTGTTGTTTATTGGGTGTTTCATTAGAAATTGAAGTCTTAAAAATCATGTTGCATATTGTTGTACCACACCTATCCTGTGGTAAGTATAATTCTGAGCATAATGACGATAGGAAACAGAGTAGACATTATGGGGATATTGTCAACTTAACTTTTAAAAAAGTAAAATAGTGAATTATTTTGCATTTCATTTTTTAGAAATTCTGTCTACAAGAATTCTGAAAAATGGTTGCCAAGGTTGTGGCAAAACAGCACGTAATGGTTTTGAACACTGATTTTCAGCTAGCATGTGTAGGCATGATTGGCGGTATGGAAAAGCTTATGCACGCAGAGACAGTGAAAAGATGGCCCATTGAAAGAGAGAGCTAATGAAAAAGGACATGATACAAATACATGAAATAATAAATGGCATAAAAAAAGGGAAGTCTGATGCTTCTAGTTAGCTGTTCTCATAATGCAAGGGCAATAGGATGTGTAATGAAATAGAAAAAAATATATACAATGGAAAATGGTAGTGAATGACAGCGGTTGAGTCAAAATAAGGGCATAATAAGATGGTAATGAGAACTGTACACAGTCAGGATAAAATTCACAATTGCACAACATGAGAATAAAATGTATAAATGATATGAACACAAGTGTTTCATGGCATAAGCAAACCACTGATCTGGGTTTAGAAAGAAATATCCCTTACTGACAGGTTATTGTATAGTTGTGATGGTTTGCACATTTCTTTGAAGCATGTCTACTATCAGAGCTGAGATGGACCAGAGGTCTGATTTGGTATGCTAATTGTCTAGTTTACAGTCTAGTCTATCTTCCTCCATTTTTCCCCTTGGTCTGAGACTATGCTCTCCTGTCCCAGCTCTTTGTTAGAAGCATGCAAGTGGCCTTTAGCAGACTGAGCAGTATTGCTGCAGGGCCAACTTAGTATACACCATGGTTTCAGGAACAGAATCTACTTTCACAGTATATGCATGCTACTTGTTCGTATTTCTCTTTGTGCACATTTCTTATTTATCAAACCAGCACTACTTTAGTATCCAAATTGGGGTTGTTTTTTTTTTTTAAAAGCTTTCTTCTGATTGGGGGGAGGCGGGAGGAGGAGATGTCCACCTATACAAAAGAAGAAAAGCAGTGAACGTTTTGGATATTTTAAGAACACATGTGCAACCCACATTTATTTACAACTAACATACGGTACGTTTAAGTTGCCTTTGTTCTGTCTCACAGAGATGGTCAGTAGTCAGCCTCTCCCCATAGTAGATAATGGGAAAAAGAAAAAGAAGAAAAGGAGGACCAGAGCCACACATCATCTCCCAGGGAAGTTTGAAGGTTAGTGTTGATATAGTGCAGCTCTGATTTTATTCTGTCTGAATCTTCTTGGCTCCTTTCAGTTTTCCAAACAAAACCATTTCTTTTTGCCAGTGTAGTGAAAACTAATACTACTTCATCTTTTATTTCTTCATCACTCATTACTCTCCTCTTCAGTGCCTTTATTCCTTAAAGTGAGCTCTTTGTATTTCTGTTGTAAATTACTTTTTAGAGTAAGCAGGGTGCAGAACAAACAGGTGTTTGGTTTTGAGAGTATCTGAGCACAAATTCTTACTATTAAGTAAACAAATGCCTGTGAATGTAAACCATGTTAGAACAGCTCAGTGTAACTGAATGAATCAGTAATAATAATAATAAAAAAACCTCTGTGGAAAATAGCACTAAGTGGGGGAAAAAAACTAGTAGTTACGCTAAATACAATTTTAGTTTTAATATTTAAACTTTAGGATTATTTATTTTTGTGGGCGGCATATGCCTTCTGTTGATTTGATAATCTAGATCGGAGGAGGCAGTGAAATGGCAACAGTTTGCCAGAGTTAGCCTCTAACTGGCAGCCACTGTAAATACCACTGTATTTATCTGTGTCCACACAGGTACTGGAAATTGCAGCTTTTGTTGGCCACGGATTGCTATTCCCAGCCATTGGGAGCTGCAGGAGTTGGTGGAGCCAAGTCCCCAGTGCCTTTCCCTTCCTAAATCCCCAAGTAAAATGTGTAACCGATAGAATTTGGATTGGTTACACGGTTTCTATTTTTATACTTTTTACATCCCTAATCGCCGCTGCCTGTGGAGGCACAGGTACATACTGGGGATGTAAAAAATTGTGCAATGGGATAAATGTGTAACTGCTAAAAATCACAGGGATTACAGAGTTTCCTGCACTATGGGCTCTGCAGTCTAAAGCTTAGCTGTAGATTGCAGAACCCTTGGCAAAGTCTCACTGGGAGCAGGGCCAGTAGCCTCTGCTGGTCTAGCTCCTGTGGAGGAGATTTCACTTGCCTGCTGCAGCGAAGCCACCTCCCTGGGAGCAGGCTGAGTGTAGCAGATACGATTAACCGATAAGCATCAGCTTATCAGTTAAATGGTTATACGCTAATATCCCTAGAAAATACAGTGGTGGAAGCCTGCTGGGGCTAATTCTGGTGAATTGGTTCTGGCTTGTGGGCCTGTATTTGCCTGCTGCTGATCTAGAGCATGTTCTGATTAAGAAATGGTGAAACATTTTCCTCATGGAAAACTCAGGGCTGGCTTACTAATTTTTAAATCCCTAATTGGGTAAATACTGAGGATATAGGAAACTAGATGAGTCTAACATTAACTGAGGTAGAAACACTTCCTAATGCTAATAGGATTGCAGTTTCACTCCTGCTAATGTTAGCTTTGTGCTGGATTTCTCTGGCAGACTTGTACAAGTTGACTGCTGAGCTTCTTGGTGAGGGTGCATATGCCAAGGTTCAAGGTGCTGTTAGTCTGCAAAATGGGCAAGAATATGCAGTAAAAGTAAGTATAGTATCCAAGGACTGAGTGCCTTCATTTTTGTCTTCCTGTCTTATTCCCCACATTGAATCAGTGCGAGAGTACCTGGAAAAATTAAGCAAGGAATACTGGGGGTTCCCCAGCTTCGGTTCCAGTGCTAAGTATCATTGATAAATGTTGCGTACCATGCTCTCTGAAACGAACTGAAATATTTTAGCAGTGAACAGAGCTCATGCAAAATAATATCTCATATAATGGTTGGACTCCACTTTTTCCCATCCTATTTGGAATGGAATTCGAACAGCTGTTGTGTTCATTTATAAAAGTAGAGGAGAAGGTCCATTGGAAGCTTTTTTTTGTTCAACTTGTTTTCATACCTTGTGATTTGCCACTATGCTTCTTCCTAATTGGACAGTAGTCTGGGGTATTTTATTAAATAGCTATGAGATTTTTGACAGAGCAGTTCAGTGTACAGAAAACAATACTACGTTTATTGTTGTTTCCCATCCTAAATATAGGAAATACCTTGATAAAGGTAAATGCTATGATGCAACAAGCTCTTCAGTGGCACCAACCTTGGGATTATGGAGTATTTGCATCCAGCTTTTAGAAACAAATTTCTTTCGTGCCTGTAGTTTTGAGCCAGCAATTAAGTGCAAGTGTAAATGATAACATCTAGATATCTCACTACTTGGTTGTGTTTAAACCCTACCTCACTCGTGGCACAATATTGGAGATACAAAAATTGGAAGCTGTTTTGAGACCTCTAAAAATCTAGCTGAAAGATCTTTGAATTTGAAAACTGAGGGTAGAGCATAACAGTTTTACGAGTAAACTACATTAAGGTACAGTACATATCTTGCCTGTGATACTGTCTTATAGGTGAATTATCATATTTTATATAGCCAGTAATATATCTTGCAGCTACATCACAAGCTTCCTTCCCATGAATCTATCATTTAATTACAACCTTTTTGCAACGCCTTTGTTTTTCCAGTCCTCTCCCTTTTGTTTCACCCTCTTCCCCCCCCCCCCCCCCCTTGCACCCCTCCCCCCCCCCCCCCCCCCTCTCCCTCCAGCAGTGCCTGAAGTACAAAACTGTGTTGCAACTACCTGGTATTGACACATACTTGCCAAGACCTGTGAACACACCACTCTTGACAAAGTTATTGCATTAGCTAACCAACTCTCATTTTGCAATGATGTGAAAACTGCTGATGCTTGTAATAACCAACTCTTCTTTTCTGATTGCTAGATTTAAGTCATGCCATAAAATTCTTGTGAAATCTCAAAAGGATTTCCCTTTCCGGACATACACAATTCAAATGTATAGGAAAAAACTTGTGGTAACTGGGTTTTGAATGTCTATTTTTTCTTCTCTTCCAGTCCTTAGATTGCCTTCATTACTGTAGTGTTTGAATGCCTTTCAGTATTACATTAAGTGCTGTGACTAACACTTTTGGTTGTTTCCCTGGGACAGAGCATGACTAGAATTTAAACCAAGGATCTCTACATCCAAAACCAGAACTGTACATGTAGGTCACAGCCATTTTTAAATATAGATTCGAATTCTCTTAATAGATAATTGAGAAGAATACTGGGCACAGTCGAAGTCGTGTTTTTCGTGAAGTAGAAACATTGTATCAATGTCAGGGTAACAAGTAAGTATTGCTTATTTTTGTGTTTAGCAGGCATCTCTAAGAGCTAGTGGTGTAGAGAGGGACAGTGCATTTTTTCCTTAGTGTTTTGGGTGTGTAACTCATTTGACTACTTATACATTTTACCTGAAAATGTTGAAACAACAAATTACATTTTAAAACTCTTATTAGTGTCCAGATTAGCTTAGAGGTAATATGCTTGAATTTTAAATGGCTTTAATTCCAATAATTTTTCAAAAGTCCTGCTCTTAAATGACCTTGTATATCATTATCTCAGTATTTGCAGTGTTCTTTGTTGTTTGTTCTGCAGCAGGATTATAGTTCCACTGTAGTAGGTGGAAATACTGCAGGAATGGAGATAATGTTGAGTTATCAAAGGCAATTGAAAAAATAGCCAACTCATTACACATCTTTTCCCTGTTGCCTGGTGTTACAATTGCTTTTGAAAGGCCATTTCTAAACCAACTGGTAAACTAATTAGATTCTTTGAGACATGTTGTGTTTCCATTTCTGATAAGCACCTAATACAGTGCATGTGCATCCAGTACATAAGTGATAACTTTCATGACAGTCTTCCAGATATGAAATTCATATTTAGTGTGAATGCAAACTGATATTACATGTTGTAATTCTTAAGACAGCAAAGGATTTTTATACTTTCTGCCACAATTAATTCAGCCTAAATAAGCAATGCTAAATTTTGAGCTGTTGGTTATCCCGCTGAGCCCAAAGTCTATCAGACAGATGTTGCTGTCTCTTCAAGTAGTGTTAAGTTCCATGCTGTGACTTACAAGGGAGAAGAATGAAGAGTAATTATTTTTACCTTCAGGAAAGACCCACTGTTCCAAATTATTAACTGCAAACTATTACAGGTTATTTTCCTCTATTACCATTCAGCTGGTCTCTTTATAACCCTGACTAGGAGATTGCTTAATGTTTCAGGCATGTGAAATGAAATTGTTGGGATCTGACCCATATAAGGTGAACGTACAATTTTTTTTAAAATACCACTGGCTACAGAATAACCTTTTTCCCAATTAGTGCTTTCATTTTTGGCTGCTACTTGTGGTTCATATTTTTAGCATATATAAAAATCTGTTTAACACACTTTTTTTTTTCTCTTTAAGGAACATTTTGGAGTTAATAGAATTTTTTGAAGATGACACTAGGTATTACCTTGTCTTTGAGAAATTGCGAGGAGGTACTGTACATCATGTTTGTGCATTTTTAAGAGTTAGCTCAAGCTGTCATTGCCTCAGTGTTTTAAAGAGATCTCATCAAAACAGGATGAAAGATTTATTTTAAATGCAGGATAAGGTGCATATTGATGGAGCTGGTTATACATTTGCAAATCTGTTTTATAGTTACATAATGAACCTTTTAACTTCGCTATTCTGGAAGCTTTGGAATATAATTGTCAAGTCAAATAGTGCCTATATGGAAAGAGGAAGAAAAGAATGAACTTTGTTTTGCATGATCTTAGCAGATCAAGACATCAGTATGTCATGTGGTCACTTTGACACAGCACACTCTGTGGCAGCATTTTTCCTCCTAATAGTATTGTGTTGATGTTCATTGACTTTTTTTCTGGAAAGCGATGGAGAACTGTTGCAAATAATACCTTGCTTCTAGCTGATGACACTGAATTATAACAGCTTGCTTATGACTGTTTTGAGGGCTTGACTAATTAAGCATGGTTAGTCATTGGTTTTTAGCAACATGGAGACTGATGGATTAGTAAGGAGGATGTTTTAACCACTTCACAAGGGAATAAACTTTTTGTAGCTGCTAGAAAGGCAAAGGTAATGTTTGACTGGAGACAGTGTTCAACCATAGTTTTTCTTTAGCAAAATACAGGCAATTCCTGTATTCGCTTCCCAGGGAAGCGTCGCAAGTCGGGTGTCGTAACTTGAACCTCATTGACAATAGGCGCCATGCGCTGTTGTAAATGTGGGCCAAGGATGTAAGTCGGGGGTTTTCGGCCCCTTACGCACTTTAAAAAATAGTTGTCAGTATGGGGGGGGGGGGTCGCAACTAATTTCCTGTACTAGATTCAAGGGAAAACTTGTAACATCAAAAGTAATGATACATTTCAAAAAGTAACATGCTTCCTTATCCTTTTAAAATGCAATTTGATAATGCCCCAAAACTCTTTGATGTTGAATTGTCTGCAAAAGAAAACTGAATTGCAGTTTTCCCATATGAGTGAATTTAAATGAAGTGTCTCAAACAGAAGATGGGGGCAGACTTACATTAAGTTCATGCTTTCAAAGCATGAATATCCCTTGTGTATCCCTCTCTCCTCCCAAGCTCTTCCCAAATCACTTGTAACCCATTTTATTTATCAGCATGAAATAAAGGGTCCGTTTCTATAGCTTCTGGATCAGTTGGGGGGTTGTGTGGGTTTACTTGTGAGTAAGAGGAGCTGTTGTCTTCAGCTGACATCCCAAATTGAGGTTGAGACCTGATCTGTCAATTTGAGTAAGTGTTGTCTGTATTTAAACTAGTATTGTCGAAGCACGCTTGAAATAATGTGAGTTGGCATTGAAATTCTAATTTCTACTGCCTGATATGCAATACTTTGTACTAGAAATGTAAGAGGTTAACTGCCCGCTGGAGTAGCCCTGGTCCAGGGCAGGCCCGCCCGCCCCTCCTCGCCACAGTTTACACACTGGCTCCCTGGGAGCCGGCTGCAGAGCTCACAGCGAAGGTTCCCCGGGAGTGGGGCTGGCAGCAGCCTTGATGCCACTCCCAGGAAGGCTTTGCTGTGGGCCCTGCAGCATAAAGTTTTTGAGCTTTATACTGCAGAGTCCTCGGCCTGTGTAACAGTTACGATGTTTAGCAGTTATATGGTTCCCTTTTGACTGCATTTTTACATCCCTACTACACTCCATCAGATATTGGTTTTGTCCTCAGCAGTGTGTCTGGCATATCTAACTCTAATTTGGTTTATATGCAAGGTTATATTCAGCTGTCACATCACTTTGCAAATATATTTGTGTACGTCTCTAGCCCAAGCTACGTGGCTGTGCAATTAGCCAGAGGTTTGCATAGCTAGTGCTTTCCCCTTGCAGGCATGCTTTACTATGATTGTGCTAATTGGTTAAAGAGGAGTCCTGCCTCCTTTTTGCTCCAGTCTGTACACTACAGACTCACAGCTACTGCTAATCTTTTTACCCCAGAGCTTTTAAACAAAAATGTCTAAATTACTTATGTTTAAAATCTAGCTGCTGTGATTAATTTGCATGAATAACTCACTTGAATGGCAAGATTGAATTTAGGGTGTGTCTAGACTACAGGGTTTTGTTGACAAAACTATACCTGTGACATAACGTCGACAGAACTCAGCAGTTTTGTCGATGGCTGTAAACCTCATTCTGTGAGGAATCATGCCTTTTGTCGACAGAAAGCGTTATTGCATCTACACTGACCTTTGCGTCTACACTGTCATGTCAACAAAGTGGCTTGCTTTGTCTACAGAACTGGATGTAGTCTAGACGCTCTTTATCGACAGAAGCTTTGTCGACAGTGGGGGGAGGCTGAGCTTGAGCTGTAGACCATCTGCACTGGACTGCACTTTGAGAATTACTCAAGGAGAGCAAAGGGAACATTAAGGGAGTGACTTGACTTAGTCTAAAAGTACCTACCTAAAAAACAAATATTTAAAAATCGACTCTTCGGTCTAGCAGAGAAAGATGTAACAAGATCCAGTGGCTGGAATTGGAAACTCAACCAATTTAGACTGGAAATAAGGTGATAATGTTTAACTTGAGGACAATTAAGTATTGAAACAATTCAACAAGCAGTTATGGTGGATTCACCATTGCTGGCATTTTTATGAATCTTTCTGTAATCTGCTGAATTAAACTAATACAGGAGATCCTCGAGATTCACGGAATCGCTATTTGCAGTTCCACGGAATTGCTGGGGTTTCTTGTCCTGGCTGGGAGGCGGGAGGAACTCACCGTGGCTCTGGATCCCCATGGTAAGTTCTGTGGGAGCTCACTGCAGGGGCTAGGAGCCACGGCTCCCCAGTATTCCTGAATTTTGGCATTCACAGTAGTGCCAGGAGCACATCTACTGCGAATAGCAAGGGTTTCTTGTACCTGAAATAACAAGGACCATAGACATTCTGCAGAGCTTGTATGAGCTTTTCCACAGAGATGAAAAAGACAAAGGGGATATCTTTTTTTTTTAAGACATTTCTAACAGCTCTACAGTGAAGACAGTAGGTTATTAAGGGGTGATGCTTAACAAACTAGAAGCCCTTGCCAGCAGCAATGTAGAACATGATTGAAATCTGTGCTAAGAGTAGGTTTCCTCAGGCCCTGTGAGGAGTCCAACACTCCAGGAGTCTCTGTCCTTTCTCCAAGCTAGAATAAGTCTTGCCTTTTCTGTGAAAATACACCTGTCACATTCCCCTCACACACCAGAGGCTGGGGGGGCTTAGGCTAGTAGATTTTCACAGGCTTAGATTTGACAGTGTTCACCATTGAACAGCCATTTCCCTTTCTTGTAGGGGTTGCCACTCTGCATAGGTGGCAACAGCTGCCTAATTAAACATGGGGGGAGGAACATCACCCTCTATGTAATACAGTGTGTGAGGTTTCCTGCCTCAGCATCTACCAACACAAAATAATAGATCTGAAGTAGCTCAGTGTATGAACACCAACTGCCTCAAGGATTTCATATCAGCAGGTGGTAATTTGTCCTTGGTCCTCACTGCCTGATCTTTCTGGTAAATATAACAATCACGCGGAGGGGGAGAAAAGGAATTTTAGTGCCATTTACTGTGCCTATTGGGCAACATTAACTATAAGCCTTGAAAGATTTTCTTGGAGGAAAATCTAAACCCATTTAGGGAAAAGCCTTTATCCTTTTTTAAAGGGACACTAATATTGTCCGAAAGCTGATCTACATTCAGAAGTGTTGTCTGAAAGGTCTTGTTCAGAATTCCAAGCACAGAGGGAGAAATTCTGCCCAAGTCTCTGCATTTCACCTTAACTTTAGTGGAAGTTCTACAATTTATTCATTAGTCAAGCAGTTATACAAAGATAGATGACACCCGAGTAATTCTGAACCACTTCAGCCTGGCGGGACTATACCTGTAGCAAACATTTGACAGCAGCCCAGATGCTAAGATCTGGTTAGATCCATTTTTGAAATTCACAGCCAGGCCATTATGGCTTCTACACACACAGAATATTTGCGTATCTTCCGATTTGGTAGGAAGTGGGTATCTTTTGTGCACTTTCAGTTCATTACTATGTACTAAATTTTCACTCTTGCAAAGGTATGCATCAGGTATGCCGACTTATCGCCTTTCTGTTTGTTACTTTGGGTTTTGTCCTTATTTGTCAAGCCAAGACTTAAAAACCTGTAGGGATGGAGATTCCACCCCTTCCCTAGGGAACCCATTCCAGTACATCACCACCCTCCTAGTGAAATAGTTTTTCCTAATATCCAACCAAGACCTCCCCCACTGTAACTTGAGACCATTGCTCCTTGTTCTACCATCCGTCACTACTGAGAGCAGCCTCTCTCCATCCTCTTTGGAACCTCAGTTATTTGCTAGTTATCAACAAGCTGTCCAAAGAATAATCGGACATAAAGGATTCTGCTGTTTCTCGAGGCTCAACCTCTCTAATCCAGCATTCTTTGGGCCAGCAACATCCATGGTCTGGCATGATTTTAGTTAGCCGAATGTCTGCTTATCGTGGGTGCGGCCATGTTTCCCTCAGTCCCATAAAGTTTTACAGCCACTAGTCCTGGCTCTGTTGTGTGCTATTGTTTAGTTCTAATTTGCCACTAAATGTCTTCTAAGAGCCCACTAAGCAATGGAAGTGTTGGTAATGCTGCTAGACAATATTAACCTCCTGTGGTTTGCCAAATTTTCTGGTTTGGCACCAGTCAGGTCCCAAGAGTGCCAGACTAGAGAGGCTCAATCTGTATTAATAGTCTCCGAGGGGTATCTGTGTTAGTCTGTAACTTTAAAAACAAGGAGTAGTCCTGTGGCATCTTAGACTAACATAAATATATATAGTCTCATGAGCTTTTGTGGGCAAAACCCACTTCAGATGAGCTAGAGTGGAGGAAGAAAATTCCTTTTTTTTTTTTTTGTCCTCAAAAGCTCATGGTGCGCTATATATATATCTATATTTATTAATCTCTAAGGTGTCGCAGGACTACTCTATTATTAGGTGGTTCATATTTTTATGGAAAACTGCATGTTTAATAATGTTACAAAACCCATGTCACATGTTAATTCAGTAATTGCTAATAGTCTTCTGAATTTTAGCATTGGTTACACTGGGATTAGACCTATGCTAGTTACAAAGAGGTTGAAGCTAATGCATCTCCGATCCCAATGTACACAGGGTCTTTGGTGTTTGATACTGACAGTATTTGCATTCAGTAGCTCTGCTTCAAATAATCTTTTCTTCTGTTTGACTGCTACTTTCACAGGTTCAATCCTAGCGCACATACAAAAGAGAAAGCACTTTAATGAACGGGAAGCCAGTAGGGTGGTAAGAGACATTGCCTCTGCTCTGGATTTTTTGCATACAAAAGGTAAAAAAATCTCTATGTGCTTCTACTTAAGGCTCTATGTGCCAAACAAATGACAGAATAAATCCATTAATATTCAGAATTAAATATTATTAAATTCACTAATCTTCCTAGTCTTATCAAATTTCCTTAATCTTCCCAGGCATTTTCTAGTAAGAGTTGTGTTTAAGTGGGTATTGCCTGTTGGAAGATTAAATCACCAGTCAGAGAAATGTATATCAAAAAGATCTGTTTTGTTGTTGCTTAAGCCAGCATGTGATGACTATTGGAACATAACTGCTTTTACCTTTTACAGTCTCCTTCAGTCTTACCTGGATTCTTTTCACAATATTTATCTAGAATAGCTTTTCAGTTACAGCAGCTGATTTTAACAGTAAGATCTGTTCTCCACCCTAAGGGCTCCAGCCATACCAGGTAGCTGCATGCCAACGAATCCTCATGATTTCTTGAAAACATGCTGATTTCAATAGAACTTTGTTCAGGAGTAGAGGGATGTGCGCATCTTTTTGTGCCAAATTATCTCACTGCAAAACTTTGTCCCTATCGTTTTACAATTTGTGGGGGGTCAGGATTTCTCAAGCCCTAAATTAGAATAGGTTGTATATGCTTGCATAGCTTTAATATATTGACACAGAATTCAATGGGCACAATTAAAATAGTTACCATTTGGCTGTTTGGGCCTATCTGAAGTAAGTTACTTGATTGAAATGTGCTTTCACCAGTGTGTCTGAATTAGATTGCAAGTAACCAGACCTTAAATCTCTGTGTCTACAATGGACAGTATAAAACTATTTACTTCCTGCCTAAGTTCCACCCTACAAATCAGGATTGCAAATGCTGTCTGTCAAGAGATTGAGCATTCTGACCCCAGTTCAGCAAAGTGCTTAAGCATGTGCTTATCTTTGAAGTCCCAGAACTACTCCTGTGCTTAAATGTTTTGATGGTTTGGGACCAGAGTTCTCAACACCTTGCTGGATTAAGTAAACCCATAAAAGATAAAGAATCTAGTGGGATTTGTGGTCTGTTCTGCCCAGTTCATAAATTCTTAGTCTTTTTAGGTGTTTATACACATGTACAGGTACAGTATGTAAACTCATAACAATATGGTCTTTCATCTGTTAGTTGAATGTTCAACAGTTGAGCAACAACAATATGGCAGACTTAAAGTATATAGAATATTGTGCATCTCTGTGCACTTCAATATTAGAAGTCAGACAGGAAGAGGAATATAGAGAAAAGATTAAACTGGTTAATCAGCTGATGGTACTGATTTATGGAGAAAGATGTATTGCTAATCTTCATAGCTTAGCAATATGACTCAAGTGAGGATAACTATATGTGAGTATTTGAAAGGTATAAATGCCGTGGGACAGACTCTAATGAGATTATAACAGTTTACAGCAGCGTTATGCTGTTATGACTTAGTGATGAGTAAATTGAGTACCAGGAAGTTCAGGTGGAGTATCTTGGGAAAACAAAGAGAAATTAAGGTTATAGTAAAATCATGTGTTAGTCTATATAAAGTTTATGGTCTTGTGCATAGCATTTACTGTTCATGATGTGCCACTGATATCAGTATGTTCCGCTTTCCTCACATTTGACCAGGTGTGAAGAGGTGAGCATGTCTAGCAAAAGTAAATGGCTTTGTAAAGCATTTTTCATTTGATGTTGAGGTACTTCATTTTGGGAAATGTCACTAGTAAAATCCAAAACAGCTTAGTTCCCCACTTAGCTAATTTCTTGCTCTGGTAATTGTCGATCATTTGCTTTCCTTTGGAAAGGAAAGACAAAGGAAGCTTTTGCAAAATGGCTTCATAAACAGTGATTCTGCTTTTTATTTGTCCTGGTTTGAGTTTTGTAATTTGAGTGCGGTTCAGTGTAACTATAATCGCAGAATCACCTGCAGTAATATTTCATTCGATTCCCTATTTACTTTATGGCTCTACTGTGTGGTATTAAAATAATTACTAAGTGGCTCACACAATACTAAAGAAAACAGGAAATTAAAGTAGCATTATCACACATCATTTTGTCATGTGGCTGATGCTCTAAGTGACTTCTCAACTTAAATGTTCCTTATCAGAAAGACAACTGATCTTCCAGTTAGTAATATACTAAAACTTAAGGGAATTATAGTTTCCCCTAACACTCACATGCTACACTTGGGAAGGAACCCCATGGCTAACTAACAAACCACTGCATGAATATTTAAAAGGCAGCTGCTTTCCTTCCAAGGCACTGTGGAGCAATTATAAAGTGAATTTGTTACATAATGGACCCAAAAGTGAAAATGAGAATCTGCTATCCATAAAACCTTAACACAAAACAGCGAAGTACATTGTAGGAGCTGGGGATAAATACTGAGAGACTAATTAGAAAACACACATGTGTTGTCTTGAGACCGTCTTGGTCACAATCTTCTTCCACACACAGATGTGTTGCACCAGTATTAACTCTTTGAAAAATCCTTTTGGTTAGAAATGTAACTTTTTTTTGTTTCAAACTGCAGGAAATGTCCTAATGTGCTAAACTAATAGACTTTGACTCTTCTCCTATCCTTACTGTCTTGTACTCCAAAATAGTAAATAACATGCAGGCCAAAACTTAGTCGCTTCTGAAAAATTGTGTTGCTGAGATAGTTGTGCATTTCAATAATGGTTTACTTCAGGCGGTTCATTTGCTGTAACTGCCCTTAAGTTTTAACGTTGGATGCAGAATTTCTGGAAAGTGTCTAAGTGCATGAAGTGTTTCAGTGCTATAAACCACCTCCATCATATGCTGTTTGTATGGGTGGGTGTTTCAGGTTCCTTCTTAAGATTCACTTGTTCTGTGATACCCTCACGACATTAATTATCAATCAGATAAACAAACTTCCAAGTTATTCCCTTTTCTGGGCTTCTGGATACTTCCTGTCGTCTGTCTTGGACTGTGTACTCACATTAAATCCTCCTGCATCTTACATGGCACCAAGCAGGTTACGCGGTGTTAACAATTAACTGAATGACATTTTCACCTTGTAAACTCTCTAGTTTGTCTCCGGAATGTGGATCATCTCATCTCGTATTGGCAAGCTATAAAAAGGTGGCCCATACTATGAAAAAATTCAGAAACCTATGGGGTAAACTATCATGCATGCGTGTACATGTAACTAGTTCTTATTGCTCATGGGTTTCAATAAGCCACTTAATTCATCATTACTTTGGTGTGTACTGTGTAGTTCCAAATGATCTCTTTACTTTACTGACTTTCATGCACACCATAATTCCATAAAATAAACACGGTGGGACATACACAGTGCCATCCAAATGTACACTGCAAGTTATCTATTTATTGTCAATGAAGAGCCATAGGCTGGATGATCTGGTATTAAAAAGCTTAGATTCAGAATGGGCCTATAAGACTTGCTTTTTAATGAAGAAAGGTAAAATGGAATAAAACTTTTAAGGCCCCTAACACACATTTCATCAGTGTCTTCTCATTTGTTTTAGGCATTGCACATAGGGATCTGAAGCCTGAAAATATATTATGTGAATCTCCAGAAAAGGTGCTCTTATTTTCTTAATACCTTTTTAAAGTGAAAATGTTCATGCCAGAGGGACCAATACCTGTGTAATTATTTTGTTAGAGATTATGGAAGTCAGGAACTAACTTTTCCCCTTCCCATTTTCAGGTGTCTCCAGTGAAAATATGTGACTTTGACCTTGGTAGTGGAGTGAAACTGAACAGTGCGTGTACGCCAATAACTACTCCTGAGTTAACTACCCCAGTATGTAAACCACTATTTTCTGCACCATTACTCGTACTATAAAGAAACCACTGAGCCCTCTAAAGAAGAAGTTCTAAAGGGCTTTCTGGAACGATTCTAAATATTGAGAGATCATACTAAACCAATTCTTTATCTCCACGCAAAGACTGTGGATTGCAGACATTCTCTATTTAAGGTAGTGGTGGACAGCCTGCAGGCTGCATGCAGTCCATCAGGGTTCTATGTGTCTCTCTGAGATGTTTAGTTTCCCATTGCCCGTGTGCAGGGTTGTCAGATACTTTTGGCTTTCCTTCTGCATATGTTTTTTCCCCCTATCGGTATTACTAAAGCGACACAGTCACAGCACATGAAGTGAGGTGCATGCTAAGGATGTGAAGGACTAGTCAACTATCCGATAAGCAAATGCTTATTGGATAGTCGATAGGATAGTCACTAGTCGCTTCTCCCCCTTCCCCCCTCTTGCTGCCTCTGTCAGAGAGGTGTTCAAAGCGGCAGTGCCACACAGAGCCGGGGGTCAGCAGGGGAGTTGTAGGGCTGTTGCTACACTTCAAAGGTGGAGGCGCTCTATTGACTAATAGAATAGTTGATGCAAAATGGATCAACTATTCGATTAGTCAGTTACCCAATACTTAACATCCTTAGTGCATACTGATCGCACATAGCATTGATTATGAACCATGCACGTGCTCTGCATCTGATCCAAGTGCTGCTACTGTTCATTCAGCACACCCTGCAAATTCTAGGTACACAAGCGCAGTTAGCAAAACCACCTGGTCCTGGGAACAGGATCGTTCATGCTGCCCACTCACTAGCGTAGGTTGCCTATCACTGATTTGAGAGAAAGGAGAGGGACCTCATGTAAACGTCTGAGAACTATCCAGTTTTGCCCACAGCTTTCTTTTTGCACACAAGTATCGTGTTATATTTGCAAGCATTTTGTCTGAAATGAAATTGTAAACTTTTTGGGATAAGGAGGAATGTTTGTGTCTGTACAGCAGTTTGCATGATGTATTCCTGACTAAGGTCTCTGGGCACTGTTTTCAGACAAATATTAACTAGTAAAGCAGAATAAAAATCAGATTGTTTAAAAGCACTAAAAGGTGCCCATTGCAATTCTAGTTATAATGAATTTCCAATTGGAGAGAAGCTCTGTTTGGGGAAGAAATCAAATCACCATATTACGTCTCTCTTAAACAGCCCTCCTGTATATACCAAAGCAGGTGGTAGGGAACTTTTTTTGTCAGGGGCTGCTGATCCACAGAATAATCATTTTGGGGGCTACACACGTGAGAAACAAAAACAAACCCTCACTGACGTGGTCTCTGACGGAGAAGGAAAAAGACACCTGCCACATTCCCCTCCCACACCAGAGGCCGAGGGGCTTAGGCTAGTAGATTTGTGTGCTCCAGCCCAGTGGCAGGGGGGCTGAAGCACCAGCCTAGGCTCCCCAATGCTGGGGGCAGGGCTGAGCCTCAGGGGCCGCATCCAGGCAAGACAGAGACAACACGTGGCCCCCAGTCCTTAGGGTTCCCAACCCTGTGCTAAAGGAGTAAAGAAACACAAAACAGTAGAAGATCCACTCTTTGAGCACGCATCTAGTAGCTCAGACTACCCATCTCTAACCTAGTACTTCAGATTTTTCATTTGAGGAGAGAGAAGACAATAGTCATACCTATTAACATGCTGTGAATGTTTTGTTTCTTTCATTGTTTAGCACGACATAGCTAGCATATACAAAGAATGTTTCTTGGGCAGCTGCAAAAAAGCTTAGATGGTATACTGCTCATAAAAGGGAAGCTTCCTCAGTCCTGAGAGAATACAAAAATAAAACGATGGCAGAAGTGCCATTGTGGTCCATCTGCTACTGACTGTGAAGGAACAGTTTCACCTTTTGATTCTATTTGATTGCACATACTTCTGCAAGCAGCTTTTTCACATGATTTATCCTTCTCAAATGCCATCATGAATCTTGCTGCACTGCCGTCCAAAAGCCAGTGGTATAGTTAACAAATGATAGCAATAACGTCCTGCGAGCATTAGTTTGCTTGCTTGCAGTCTGTTAGATTCTGGAATTTGCAGCCAGGAAGACTGCTTGAGTCATAATGCTGTGGTTCTCCAAAACATCTGACTAAAACCTACTAATCCTCTTAAGCCAACTAACATTTTTTGTGTTGCCTATTCTAAAATGTGTGGTGCTTGTATCAAACGCTCTAGCTCAACAGAAATCAGTCTCAGTGGACTTGTAAAATTTTGTGTTTGTTCCTGTTAGTTCTTAGTTGCTCAGCAACTAGTATAGTAGCTGATTATTTAACTATTTGTCTGCTTTTTAGTGCTCATTTTAAGGGGTGTGAAATCTATCATTACTAAAATTTCCCTTCCTGCCTTATTTTTTGAGTAAGGAAGCTTTGCATAACTTCTGTTTTTTATGGGCAGAGATTGGGTTTAAAACACATTTTTCAGTACATACTTATACAATATTCGCTATGTATTTCCCAATATTTTTGGAATTGGTAGCTGAGCCAGCCTCGGAAGACTGAGCAATTAAATTATCTGCAGAAGATTGCATTTCAAGCTACATTTACTGCTTTTCCACTCTCTATGCAGTTATAACACATCCCAACAAAAACTCAGAGTTTATTTTTGGCAGTGCAATGGAAAGAGAATCTGCAGCGGGAGTTAATTTAAAAAAAAAAAAAAAAAGAAGACGATCCAAATATATCGGTAGACTTATTTTGGCATAAGGATAATTAGTTAAATATGCTTGCATTTTTTAACCATAAACATTAAATGAGCTTTAAAAAAAAGTGAAAGTGCTGGCTGCTTCTCTTACCCTTGCAACCGATGAAAACTAGAACTGGATGTCTCATTTAGCATTTTGCATGCTCAAAGAACTTGGTAAACATTAAGTCTCTCTGCATCCCCGTTTTATTCTTAAGGGATGCAGAAGCACAGTAGTTCTGACTTAACAAGCCGACATTGCCTGTGTCGGTTCATGATTAAAATTCAGATCATCCCGATTCCTAATCCCATCTTCAGACCACTTCTTACAATCATTCCAATATTACCTAAGTGGTTCAATAACAATGGCAAGTCTTATCCAGTTTCATGGTCCCTTTTTTGCATGTTGCATTGATTGTGCTGATCATCACTACTCCCACTGAAAACAAATCTGAATTCTGTTTACCAGTGTGGTTCCGCGGAATACATGGCCCCAGAGGTGGTCGAAGTCTTCACAGAGGAGGCCACGTTCTATGACAAGCGCTGTGATCTGTGGAGTCTGGGTGTGATCTTGTATATCATGCTCAGTGGCTACCCTCCTTTTGTGGGGAACTGTGGCACGGACTGTGGCTGGGACAGAGGAGAAGTCTGCAGAGTCTGTCAGGTGACTGTGGGGTGGGGAGGAGTTTTACATAACCATGTGAACTTTACAGGGCTGGCTGGCATGAGAATGGGCTGCAAAGCAAGCGATTCTGGGCTTTCCCAATAACCCAATTAGTAATCCTCTGAGAGAGTAAACTTTTACAGAGAAGTGGGGAGGGTGAGGTAGAAAAGTCAGTTACGGATGCTAATGTTCTGAATGCCCCTCTTACCTATACAGTCTGAGAATTGGCAACCCCTCTTCCTCTCTGGGCCTCTGGTTGTGTTGTCACTAGCAGGGTATAAAATCAACTGCCAAAGCCCTCCAGCTAAAAGTGTGAAATTGGGACCTGCCATTTCGAAAGTTTTAACATTTTGGGGTTTGGAACATTGTAAAGGGCGGGAACAAAACCTCTCTTGCTTCTAGTTAATACTTAATGTAAATGAATATTCTTTTGACAGAATAAGCTCTTTGAGAGTATCCAGGAAGGCAAGTATGAGTTTCCAGACAAGGACTGGTCTCATATATCCAATGATGCCAAAGATCTCATCTCAAAGTTGCTAGTTCGTGATGCCAAAGAAAGACTTAGTGCTGCTCAGGTTCTTCAGCATACCTGGCTGCAAGGGGTAAGTATCCTTTTAAAGCCTTGCAGATTAGCTTTCCCAATTCATACAACAAGCTGCCACCTTCACACATGGCCACTATGTCCATATATGTATCATAGTGCGCCTAGTTTAATCAAGTAGATAGAGTCCTATTAATATCACATATACAGCAGCTTGAGGAATAAAACCATTGGATTCTATCTAGATTTTAGTGTTAGGCTCTTTTTGCTCTCCAGCGTTACAGGCCTGTGCATTTAAATATCTTTCCCTGTGCTGTTTGGTGCCAGACCTAAGAAACTGGGGGAGAGAGGTTATGGGGCGAGGGGGGGAAGAGGCATATGATCTCTAATACAGTGATTAAAGAATTATAGGTAATGGTTTGGAGGATCTTTAATATTTTGGAAGATCCTGTGTGTAAGACTTCAATTCAGGAAAACACATACATCACATTCTTACTGGATACAAACAGTAGCTTGTTCTGCTGTTGTAGTCATACTATTTTGAGAGCTTCCCAATTATTAAAAGTGCCTTAAAGTTGCCTAATTGTTGAATCCCATCTTTTAAGCCGGGGAGGTTGAGAAATTTGTGGAGTCCTATTAATGTCTTTGGAAAATAGAAAATATGTTTTCTAAATATGTTCTAGTTGTAATGATGGCGAGTGGGGAGAATTTCACTGGGAAAATCTTGATGAGCACAAATGCAAGTACTGTACAGTGAAATGGATCTAACTTTTTTAATTACACTTTTATAGCAGGCTCCTGAAAGGGGATTACCCACGCCACAAGTTCTTCAAAGGTAACTTTCCTTGTTATGTTACTTCGGTTGAGACTAACAGATCCTCAACAAGACAGGCTTTGGACTGGAACCCTCAGGGCAAGAGGTGTCAAAGTGAAGATAACATGGACCTGCACAGTGGAAGCAGAAGTGAAAGCTGCCCAAATGACATGGGAAGAAGCTCAGAGTGCAGCAGGAGACTACCAAAATAGGGCCTTTACCACTGCCTTCAGTGTTCCACATGGAATAAAAATAAATAAGACCTGGAATAAACACAACTATGACATAGTTGGCATCACAGAGACCCGGTGGGATAATACACACGATTGGAATATTGGTATGGAAGGGTACAGCTTACTCAGGAAGGATAGGAGGGGGGGGAAAGGAAGGAGGTGTTGCCTTATACATTAAAAATGTACACACTTGGACTGAGCTGGAGATGGATGTAGAAGACAGATTTGTTGAGAGTCTCTGGGTTAGATTAAAAGGGGTAAAAAGCAAGGGTGATGTCATGTTATGGGTCTGCTATAGATCACCTGCCCAGGCAGAAGAGATGGATGAGGCTTTTTTAAACAACTCACAAAATCATCCAAAACGCAGGATTTGGTGGTGCTTGGGAATTTCAACTATCCAGACGTATGTTGGGGAAATAACACAGCAGGACAAAGATTATTCAATAAGTCCTTGAACTGCATTGGAGACAGATTTTTATTTTAGAAGGTTGAGAGAGCTACTAGGGAAGGAAGCTGTTTCTAGATTTGATTTTTAACAAATAGGGAGAACTGGTTGAAAATTTGAAGGTGGAAGGCAGCTTGTGTGAAAGGGATCATGAAACGGTAGAGTTCATGATTCTAAGGAATGATAGAAGGGAGAACAGCAAAATAGAGACAATGTATTTCAGGAAGGCAGACTTTAATAAACTCAGAGCTGGTATCTTAAGGTCCCATGGGAAGCAAGACTAAGGAAAAACTGAAGAGAGTTAGCAGTTTTTTAAAGGGACACAATTAAGGGCCCAAAAGCAAACTACTCTGTTGCATAGGAAAGTATGGCAAAAGACCACGTTGACTTAACCAGGAGATTTTATGATCTAGAAGTCATATACAAAGTGGGAACTAGATCAAAATATGATGGATGAATATAAGCAAGCAACACGGTTATGCAGAGGCAAGACTAGAAAAGCAAAGGAACAAAACTAGCTCACTCTAGCTAGAGACCTAAAGGGTAATAAGACATTTTGTAAATATATTAGAAGCAAGAGGAAGACCGAGGGCAGGTTAGGCTCATTGCTTAGTGAAGAAAGAATAACAGGAAACTTGGAAATGACGAAGCTGCTTAATGCCTTCTTTGTTCGGTCTTCACCAAGAAGTTTGATGAATGGATGGCTAACATAGTGAATGCTAGTGGAAATGGGGCAGGTTTAGAAGATAAAATAGAAAAAGAACAATTTAAAAATTACTTAGACAAGTTGGATGTCTTCAAATCACCAAGGCCTGGTTAAATGCATCCTAGAATACTCAAGGAGCTGATAGAGGAGGTATCTGAGCCTTTAGCTATCATCTTTGGAAAGTCATGGAAGTTGGGAGAGATTGCAGAAGACTGGAAAAGGGCAAATATAGTGCCCATCTTTATAAAAGGAAATAACCAGAAAACTACAGACCAGTCAATTTAACTTCTGTGGCAGGAAAGATAATGGAGCAAGTAATTAAGGAATCCATTTGCAAACATCTGGAAGAAAATTAGGTGATAGGTAACAGCCAGCACAGATTTGTAAAGAACAAATCATGTCAAACCAATCTGATCGATTCTTTGCTAGGATAACAAGCCTTCTTGATAAGGGAGAAGTGGTGAACGAAGTATACCAAGTCTTTAATAAGGCATTTGATATGGTCTTGTATGACCACCTTCTTATTAAAATAGGCAAATACAATTTAGATGGGGTTACTATAAGGTGGATGCATAAGAGGAAGCATAACCATTCTGAGAGAGTAGTTATTAACGGTTCACAGTCATGCTGGAAGTGTATAACAATGGGGTTCCACAGGGGTCTGTTTTGGGACCAGTTCTGTTCAATATCTTCATCAGCGATTTAGATGGCACCGAGAGTACAATTTTTAAGTTTGCATATTATACAAAGCTGGGCGGGGTTGCAAGTGCTTTGGAGGATAGGGTCATAATTCAAAATGATCTGGACAAATTCAATAAATTGTCTGAGGTAAATAGGATGAAGTTTAATAATGGACAAAGTACTCCATTTAGGAAGGAATAATCTGTTTCACACATACAGAATGGGAAGCGACTGTCTAGGAAGGAGTACTGCACAAAGGGATCTAAGGGTCATAGTGGACCACAAGCTAAATGAGTCAACAGTCAAAGCAAACATGATTCTGGGAGGCATTAACAGCGGTATTATGAGCAAGAGCCGAGTTTGGTTTAGAAAAGAGAAGACTGAGAGGGGACATGATAGCAGTTTTCAGATATCTGAAAGGGTGTCACCCGGGGGGTGAGAGGATTGTTCTCTTGGCCTCTGATGATGGACAAGAAGCAATGGGCTTAAACTGCAACAAGGGAGGTTTAAGAAGGTTTTCCTAATGTCCAACCTAACTGCCAGGGTGGTTAAACACTGCAATAAATTGCCTGGGGAGGTTGTGGAATCTCCATCTCTGGAGATATTTTAAAGCAGGTTAGACAGGCATCTATCAGAGATGATCTAGATCCGTGTTTCTTAAATTGTGTTCTGGTATGCTGTGGAGAATAACAGTTTAAAAATGCAAAAGTGACGAGGAGTCCTGTGGCACCTTATAGACTAACTGAAGTGTAGGAGCATAAGCTTTCGTGGGCAAAGACCCACTTCGTCAGATGACATGCATCTGACGAAGTGGGTCTTTGCCCACGAAAGCTTATGCTCCTACACTTCAGTTAGTCTATAAGGTGCCACAGGACTCCTCGTCGCTTTTGCAGATTCAGACTAACACGGCTACCCCTCTGAGTTTAAAAATGGCTGCCCTTAAAGGGGCAGGCAACTTTTTTCCTCAGCAATCCTTGCTCAACAAAAAAAAATCCTTGATGTTCATCAGGAAAAAAAATAAAATTGTTTCGTATTCCTGGGTCTTAAAAAGTTTAAGAAACACTGATCTAGATGGTGCGTGGTCCTGCCATGAGGGCAGGGAACTAGACTTGATGATCCCTCAAGGTTCCTTCCCGTTCTGTGATGCTATGAAAAAAGCAGGAGAGCGAGAGAGATTTAGTTGAGCTGATACTTTCTGACTAATGTCAATCTCACTATCTGGGATACGAGGGAGAGTGTTAGGAGAGCTCCTTTAGCGAATGCACAGGGCTTTTTGCACATATGGTTGCAATAATATATTACTTGTGTTAATGTTTGGGATTTTTTTAAATCTAATCTTGATTAGTTGTAGGAGAGGCAATAAAGGGCCTTCCTGTGTGTTGAGATGGCTGGAGGGATTTGGAGGGCGAAACGGGATTTGTGGGGCACAGAATATGTGAAGGTGCACCTCATCTAAAGGAAGCTGCATTTCAGTGATGGATGAACGACTGCTGTACGCACAGGGTCTGAGCCTTCTGCTATTGAAGTTGGTGGGAATTGTGCCATTCAGGAGGGAGTAAGGTCAGACCTAAGACAGAGGTTAACAAATTCTGAGCAATAGGCTTTGTGGCAGAAGGGGTTTGAGAGTCTGAAAACCCAGGTCCTATCCCCAGCTCTGCCACTGGATTGCTGGGGTTTTTTTTTAGGTAAGTCACGTTACTTTTTGGGGCTCATTCCCCTCTATAACGAGCATTTCCTTTCCTCACTCAGCTTGTGTATAGTGTCTGTTTATCGAGAGGCTGGGGTCTCTAGATGTTACCATAATATAAGTAATGACAGCAGGGAAAACGTACTTCTGATGCGCCTTTTAAGTTCTTATTTTTGTGGCTCCCATTATTACCTTACCGTCCTTTAATGTATTCCTCTGCACTACGTTGTGTCAGGTGGGAAACTGATATCCATGTTTTACAGAGGAGAACTGAGGTACAGAGAAACCATGTGACTTACCAAAGGTATTAAGAGTCTGTTGACTTTAACCTAGGTCTCTGCAGTACCATGGTAATCGCCTAACTATGGGATCAGATCCAGTATTACAATGTACAGCACTAGTTGTCCTAACCTAGCCAAGTGTGAAAAGGAAACCTCCCAATGTCTTGCTTACTAAACGAATGTTTCCTTAAGGCGGCCTGGTGGGGGCATAGTTGGGTTCAGTGGTTTCTGCGCACACATTGTACAACCTGGTTCTCCTTTTCCTGCAGAAGAGACAGCAGCACAAAAGACCTGACGCTATTTGCAGCAGAGGCCATCGCCCTGAACCGTCAGCTGTCCCAGCATGAGAACGAGCTGGAAGAAGAGCAAGAGAACATCGCTCAGGCCATGTCCTCCATGAAGCTTTCTCCCCCCTCCAGATCCCGCTTAGCCAAACGCAGAGCAATGACCCAAGCCACCAAAAATAGCGACTTCCAGCCTGTCACTCAGGCAGCCCTTTGACCTGCAGACACTAATGGGATTGGTCAGTTTTACTTCCAGTATTTTAAAGTCTGATGGACATCGCGGTTTAATGAGTTTTAGTAGGAAGCTCATTAGAAAGGGACTTGTACCTTTAAATGGATACAGTCTTAGGAATGGTTTTGCTTGATGGATTTGGGAGAGTAAGACAGTTTGACTGAAATTCTTTTTAAACTAGAGGAAGTGAGGTTGCTACTATTTCACCGGGGACAGTAAACCACTAAGCTTTCCTTCTTTTCTCTTAAAGAGCACACTTTAAAATGTAGACTTGAGGGCATTTGGAAAAGCTCTTCTCTTGCTTTCCATATCAGAGCACAAAGACTTTCTACCCCCATGCACCCACCCTTGTGTAGGAAACCATGGTGCTGCTCCTTTAATCAATTGGAGATGCTGCTAATTCCGTTCAGTCCACTAAAAGGCTGAGAGTGCACTTTGTCCTTAGCACTTGGGAAGTGAAGAGGATGCTTATGGCTGGTTGCTGCAACTTGATGAGCACTCTCCACTCCCATTGGCTCCAGTTGGAGTTAAATACATCCTGCAAGATGCTGGGTAGGTTCAAGCTTGTAACAGGATCAGATCCTTGAAAATGAAGGCAAATGCTGGAAGAAGATTATCATCTTTTTTGGGGGTAGGGGGAGATGGAGTATGGACAATCAGGTGCTTTCATCTCTTGACCGTCTCCGAACGAGCATGTACTCCTGCTTATCTCAATGCCACGTATTCTGTCAGTACATTTAAATGTCTCCTTTTCTTGCCAATTACATTCTTAAATCTGAGTCAGTAGTCCTAGCAGAGAAACTTTAAACTAATATGTTTCCCTGCATCACTGTCTGCAATATACCTTTACTCATGAAGCGTATGGCTCGTAATTATTTTTTCCAGTATTACCCTGATTACGTTTCTTGCTGTAGGAGGGTGAATGCACAGGTTCCAATCAAGTAGTATTTGGGAGAGAAATCTGAGCTTTTCCAGCCGATGGGAAGATAGTGTGTGGACGACAGGGAATAAGAGGGCATGGTCATAAACTTGCAGCAGTCAAGCAGGTGGGTAGGGTTTAGATTAGAACGTTGGTTCAGCATACGTAATGTTACAATGTGGTAACAAAGATGGTTCAAGAGCTGCTTTGGAAAAGCATTGGCCTAAACTTTCAAAAGCCACTTGCAGTTTTAAGTATCCAACTTGAAGTACCTTAACCACACTTCATTTTCAGGAAGTGCGGAACCACCCATGCTGTGGAACCTGGCCCCTTTAAGTTGTCTCGGGCTGGACACTCAAAAGTGCTTGTCATTTTTGAAACCTTGTGCAAATGTCTCGTGGCAAGTAAAATGTATGCCTTCCAGTGTCGGGATTAATAATCCCAAACAGCTAGAGAATGAACATGGGGAACCAACCCATCAAACCACTGCAAATGGAGAAGTCTGAACTATGGCAGATTTCATTGCCCAGTCTGTCAGTGCAGTTTTACATTTGTCTTTTGAGAAGAGTGTGTATTTTTATATATGAATATTTTTGTACAACAGCATATCAGTGAATAATAAGATGCTGTGCTATATTTAAGGTATTTTATATATTGTCAGAGGTAAAGGATTATGAATTGTACTTATCATTGTTTATTAAAATTTTAAATTATAAATTTAACACATTACGTAACTTACTGTGTTTTTGGTCTGATTTTGGAGACTTTGAAAATTCAGGAAGCAACTTGCTTACCCCTCTGTGACATTCTTTAACGTGTGTACTGAAAATTAAACTTACTTCTATCTTGTCTTACTTTTTTTAATCCATCTCTGGCGGTATTCTCTTTCATGGTAAAACTAATCAACGAATTCCTAGATTTATGAGGCCACAAAACCATTGTGATCATCTAATCCAGTAATCCCCAAACTTTCCCTCATGCTCCACCCTCATCCTAAGAAGCGGGATGCAGCTCCTGGATGGGGGAATGCAGATAGAGGTAAGTGGGCTGAGGCTGGTGCAACAGCTTGGGGGCTGGAGCCAGGAGCAGGGCTGGGTGTTGCTTCTTCCCTTCTTGTGGTGGGGGCTGGCCTACGCGGTAGCCAGGCCCTCTCAATGTTCCTCCACTTGCTTGCAGTTTAGGGGCTTCTGATTTAGTCTGATCTCCTGTGTTACACAGACCATAAATTTTACTTAGTGACCTACTGCCTCAAACCCAGTGCCTCTGTCGATACCTCTTTCCAGTAGACACACGGAGCCACACTGCCAAGGTGAGCAGAGCCCAGTTGAGCAGAAGACACACACACACTCTCTTTCTCTTTCTCTTTCTCTTTTCCTCCTCCTCCTCCCCTCCCTCCCCACAATGGGGGGGTTGCCAGCTAGCAAGGCATGGAGTTGCTGCTGCTCCTAGATCTTGCTGGGAGGGGAGGAGATTTTCTTCAGTATCTTACAGCAGCAACCTGCTCTTGTGAATACCGGTTGTTGTCATTTTATGGTCATGTTGGTTGATAACAGTGTTCAGGCTTTTATGATCAATGTCGACTATTTATTACAGCTATTTTATATACCCCAGTGGGTGAAAGATTACTTGGTATTTAGGCAGGCGAGAATTCTTACCTGTAGATATAACTCCAGAAGACATTTCTCAACTGTCTCTTTACATTTGACATAGTACCCTTAAGTGCAGGTGGACTACATATATTCATCAAAGCAAAACTTACAAAAAGATTATAAACATCTGATCTGTGGCATCAAGTTCTAGTTGGTACATATTAAGATTTGGAGGAGGCAAATTTTGAGAGAAGGGATGCAGTGATCTGAGCTAACTTTGTCTGATGCTTATTTTTTAGGTTTCCAAAGGGAGAAAACACGTTATTTTGTGAAACTGGTTGTAGATTTCCCCGCGTACAAAGCTAGAAACTGACAATCTCATAAATTTTACTTTAAGCAATGCTCTTTACTCCACCAAGTACATTAAATTTTGAATGTTGTCCCAAAATTTGAATGCTTTAAAAATTAATGAAAAAACCTAATTCTCCCTCCTGCCATCCATCTCCAGCCTTTGACACACACAGGCTAATAGCCATCTATGGACTTAACCTCTGTGAATTTATCTCATGGAAGGACCAAATACTGTCGAGACCATCCCTGATAGACATTTATCTAACCTACTCTTAAATATCTCCACAGATGGAGATTCCAGAACCTCCCTGGTCAATTTATTCCAGCGTGTGTCTACCCTGATAGTTAGGAATTTTTTCCTAATGTCCAAGCTCAACCTCCCTTGCTGCAGTTGAAGCCCATTGCTTCTTGCTCTATCCTCAGAGGCCAAGATTAACAAATTTTCTCCCTCCTCCTTATGACACCCTTTCAGTGTTATAGTCCTAGCCTGCACAGAATTAATGATTTCCAATGTTAGGTCCTAGTGTTTCCTAAGGAGTTTGGTGTATTTAATATATTTCTGCCATTTATTTCATTCAAGTGCTAGTAACTTCAGTTTTCTTGCTTCCTGAAGATGGCAAATGAAACACACAATTAGGTACTGGCTGAGTTGCACCCTGGCTGTATCAGTGGCCGTTGTCTTTGCAAGCCATACTCTAGGGTGGCTTACTGGAAAGTGCTTCCATTTCCTTGCTGAATCACATCAGAACCTGTGGAACAATATAAAAGAGGCTGAGTCACCACTGAACCACTCAAGGTAGTAGTAGAGAGAACTCCCTTGACCTGTTGCAACACATCAAGTGCCATCTGGAGGATTAGTGTTTCTACAGATGGGTAAGAGTAACAGTACCCACCCCCTTTCAGATCTGATAGAAGTCCTGGGAATGATTCAGCCGATCTTATGAGCAGCTTCTTCTTTCTTAATAACTCAATTGTCCCTTCTTTCAAGGGATGTCTTGCTTTAGTTCCACATACCACACCCATCACGGTGTCCCTTTGCTTCTCAGAATTATGAAGGAAAGATTATGAAAAGTTATTCCTCTACAAAGTGGAATCGGCTATCATTTTAACTTTCCTGCATTACCTTTCTCTCTTTGTGTTTGTCACATGGTATTTCTCATTTGTGCGTCTTAGTAAGTAAAAGCCAACAGGATAAGCAGTAAGAATCTTATTGGAACATAGGCCACACATGCTCAGACCCAAGCTCTATTTAGTCTTCCAACAGCGGCCAGTGCCAGGTCCTTCAGAGGTAATGAGGAAAGCAGGCAATCAAGTGCTGTCACCGTCTCCTAGTTTCTGGCAAATAAGCTAGGGATACAGGCTCATCTGTTTCCTTGAGTAGTCTGATGCTTAGTTATAAGCAAACACCCCCGTAGACAGCATTTAATTAGTTATTGATTGATGCTAAAAGAATAGCAATCAGCCAGAACTAATCTCAAAGTACCAGATTACATTCTTTTAAATCCTACAGAAGAGAACATTTTGTAAGACTTTTTTTTTTTCCAGGCTGTGCGCATCATGCCTCTTCAGGTGACCTTAGCACAAATATTCATGCTCAGTCCTAGCAAAGCTTTTTAGAAGGGTTTGCTTTCCATACTCTTCATTGCACAAAAGGGTGCTAACATTCCTCGGCGTACATTTTCTCTCTCCCTCCTATGTCCGCAGTGGAAAGGGGGGGTTATTTTTGCAGGAGCTGTGGGAGGGCTAGGTTTCAGTGTAAGGGCAGCTTGGTTAATTTCCAGTGATGATCATTTATCTTTGGACGATTCCAGTGGCAGAAACCGGCTTCGTTTGACTTCCATGGAAACACACTGCCATGGCAACCAAAAGACCTGACAATGCCGAGGAAATGTATAATTGCACCAAGACATACTCACAGCTCCCTTTTCCCTTGCTGCTAGATTTCATTTGCCACTAAATACGTTTCGCTTGCTCGTATCACACTGCTGGGTGCAGCAGAGAAGTGTCATTTCTGTGGAAGGAACCGTTTTGAAAGCAGCAGTCTTCTGTTGGGGGAGATTTTTGCTTCTGACGAGACAGCTTCATAAAGTGAAATTTGTCATCTATACAGTTGGCCAGTAGGTTCAATGGGTGTGGTAATAATGCTTTATTAAGCAAATTGATGGTAATGAACCCTGAGAATAAGGGAATAGGTTTGTCATCAGGCCTTGTATTCACTGGCTGTGGCATGCAGTGTATGTGTCGCTACATATAGCAGTGAAAATCAAGGTGCGTCCACAGTACAACGTGCAACAGTGAAAGCTTGTGGCAGTGAAATAAGCAGCTGCTAAAAATAGCAATTTACTCAGGAGAGTCACTGCTTAGACTTGTAGGCTACGTCTAGACTGGCACGATTTTCCGGAAATGCTTTTAACGGAAAAGTTTTCCGTTAAAAGCATTTTCGGAACAGAGCGTCTAGATTGGCACGGACGCTTTTCCGCAAAAGCACTTTTTACGGAAAAGCGTCTGTGGCCAATCTAGACGCGCTTTTCCGCAAAAAAGCCCCGATCGCTACTTTTGCGATCAGGGCTTTTTTGAGGAAAACAAATCTCAGCTGTCTACACTGGCCCTTTTGTGCAAAAGGGACGTTTGCCCGAACGGGAGCAGCATAGTATTTCCGCAAGAAGCACTGATTTCTTACAGTAGGAAGTCAGTGCTTTTGCGGAAATTCAAGCGGCCAGTGTAGACAGCTGGGAAGTTTTTCCGGAAAAGCGGCTGATTTTCCGGGAAAAGCTGGCCAGTCTAGACACAGCTGTAGAGTATGTCCCTTAGAGTTTTTATTCTCTTCAGCTAACCAGTGCCTCATCTACACAGCTGCTCTTACCATGCTGGAGATACGTGCAGTGTATGTATTTCACCCGCCACTTGTAAGTGTAGACAGTGCCTAACAGGGAAGCATAGAATACAAGCTCTGGGGCTAGTCCTTTCTTGCCTATGTATTTGACATTTTTATGCTAACCAACCATCACTGTAATATATAGAAGTTGTTCAGATAAGCTCAATAGCTGTTTGGACTGGAAAACAAATTCTCCTTAAGAGGGGGGGAAAAATCAAGACTTTGATATTTGTTTCCTTCTGATAGGAAACGCAAGCAAGATCTTGCACGTTTGTCATGCAAACATACCCAAGAGTAGCCTGGTGGCTGAGAGATTCAACTGAGATGTAGGAGACCCAAGGTCCGGCTCTGTGCTGAATCTGGATTTTTGGTGGGTCAGATCCCAGGTAGCTGTCTTCACCACCGGCTTTTGGCTGTTCTGGTGAGGGGACGTCTCATTTTTTGAGCTCAAATAGCAATTGCAAAATCTCTGGAAGAGTCTCAGACTCCTAGCTGCAGGCTTCTTGCTGGGGAAAACATTTGTCTTGTATTCCCCTTTGTCAGCTTATGTCTCCATTCTTATGTTTTGCACTAGCCCTTGGAGCACGGGATGGAGCATGGAATGGCCTTATATTTTTGCATAATAAATCACCGTATG